ACCAGAAGCAGCATAGCTGCATTTACAGAGCACAGTGCCTGGGGTAATTCACTCTGCCCCTCACCAATGCCAGTTAGTGTAGTCATGAACGTTCACACAGTGCTGAGAGGCTTATCTAATTAGCTGGCATAGGCATGGCACCACATGAACACAGCTATCCCAAGTCTGGTTCAGGGGGTAGCTTGCAGGAGTTGCTGTGTTCCTGTGGCCCCAGCAGCTTCCTGCTGTGTCTTCTCAGGATGCAGCAGGACACTGCCGGCCACCCATCTGGGGCTAATTTTCAAACTTGGGATAAAAGTTCTATTTCAGGAGATCCTTGGGAATACTGGCCTCCCTCTCTCCCCCCAATTTGGGGCAGTCCTGGAGAGTCTGAGCCAGAGTAGGAGGTGTAGGCTTGCTTAACTGTGTGCATACCTTAGACTCTGGAGCCCTGTTGTAGCTTAATCAAGCAGTTTGAAACTGCATTTGTATCTTCATACACACTGCCTTTTAGCTATCCTTGTATTAATTCAGCCGGGCATATTTTTCAGAATCCCTTGTTTAAGGGTTTCCCTACTTCTGCTGTCTTTCCACCCAACCTACAGCATAACGTTACCTCTGTTTAGTCTAATAAGCTGAGAGTGTCAACTGTGAAGTCTCCTATAGCAGAGATCCTAGAGAAGGATGGTGGAATTGTTTGGCTATGTGTAGTGGGTCACATGAATTGCTGCCATAACCCCAGTAAACTTCCATGAAGTTGTATGTAGTAGGGATGAATTAAGCCCAACCTGTATTTTATTTGCCTTGTAAAATGTTTCGTGAGCAATGCCTTTAAAAGGGTACATTTGAGAGGGCGTTGGGAGTGTTTCCCTGCCAAAAGATTTTTGCCTGTGTGTTTGCATAAACACTGGGTTGATACGACATTGCTCTTTTTCCTTGGGGACTAATTTCAATCAACCAGTCAATCAATCAATTGATCAATCTTTTGAGGTCAGATTGCAAATAAAAAATAATGTATCCCTTTATAATCTTTTTGTTATCAAACTGATAAGCGCCAGGTAATATTTGTGTCATACCAAAGACTGTTTAAATAGTTTTTTTTGTGTTTATTTTAAGCAGGAAATGTTGTGTTGTACACATAATGCTGTTAAGTGACATGCTTCAGACATGGTGCATTCCAGGATAACAGGGGATTATTCCTTTAAAAAAAGGGGGTGGGGGAAACAACCCAGTGACACACATTATTTAATTCCACTTCTTTTAAAGTCAGGGAGAGTCTTTTCATAGAAATTGGACTGGGCTCACAAACCCCAATCCTGCAAACACTTCTACTTCTTCCCCTTCCCTTTGCATCCCTGTTAAATTCAGTGAAGAGTCAGGGCCATAGTAAGTACAAGATCTGATATTAATTTGGAATGAGCTGCTTAGGGATTTTTTAAATCAATGATATCTGTACATGATCATTACTCTTTTTGTCTCTCTGCAGCCCATCCAGGTATGTCACTGGCAGGATTTGCATCAAGAATCCTGAGATGCACTGCAGCATCTCTGGGTGTTAAGAGCAGCCTATGGGAAAGCTGATAGGAAGAATCCCCAGCTCTATGCTGTACCCCTAACTGCACAAGTGAACTATAAAGTTCATAGTCCATTCAAAGGAATCAACAAGGCACTCTGTCAGCACATGTAATGCACAGATATAGGTTAGGTTTAAAGCATACTCTAGGGCTTATGCAGAGGTGGGCAAAATGTGGCCCACAGGCTGCATGTGGCCTGTGAGGCCATTCTATCTGGCCTGTGGGGCCCCTAAAAAATTTAGAAAATTAATGTTCATCTGCCCCTGGCTGCCTGTCATGTGGCCCTGAATGGCTTCCCAAAACTCAGTAAGCGGCCCTCCACCCAATATAATTGCCCGCCCCAGCTTATAGTATGGTTCAACATAATTTGTCCATGTGGATCCTGACACTGCAATGTTACACCATAAAATCTGCTGCCACCTTCATATCCTTGATCTTTACCTACTGGAATAATCTGTGTCTAATTTGACAAAACTAGACCTACTAGTCTGGGCAGCCACTGGTTGGAAGCAGTAACAACTTCAGTCTTAGAAATGGTTTTAACGTCAACAGAATAAGTAAATGCAATTAACACTTCCAGCTAGATCAGTGAAAATAAAATGTGCCAACAGAAATTGAGGCAATGTTCCCACTATTAAAAAACCCTCCATCAGTTACCCTACTATTTAAAAACAAAATCATAATTGTCTCTTCAATAAAGCAGTGACCTTTGTAGTCAATTTAGGAGTGTTTATTCTAAACATCAGTTTAGAAGAGAGGTGTTTTTTTTCATATTGATCCTTAGATGATGGCTTTTCTGCAAAACTATAGAGATTTTTCCTTCTGCTTCTCTGAGGGTTCTGGAGAAACAAGTTCTGATTCTTATTTCTATTACTTTTTCCTATATAAATTTTTCATTTGTTTGATCAGTTAGAGCAGGGGCTGGAAACCTTTTCCAGCCATGGACTAGAACAGTCCAGCATAGGCCTGGTGGCTTCAGTGGCGTGTCAGCAGCAAGTGGGGATTGCTTGTACCTGTGCTGGGTTCAGGGAGCTGGAAGCTGTGCTGGCACTGTCTCTCTTCCTGGCTGGCATGTGAGCTGCACTGGTGTTGGGCAACTGGGAACTGCACGTGCATTGCTGCTGCTGCCACTTCCCCCCAGCTTCCTTCTCTCCAGCTGGGGCATGATCACCATGGCCGGGCAGCTTGACGCTGCATCCACATCACTGCCAGCTCTGCCTCTGCTCTACCAGCTGCAGACTAAGTGCAACTGGAAGCTGCCCAGCACTGACTTAGTTCTTCACTGGCTGGGAGGG